GCCTGAAACAGGTCCTTCCCTCACTGCCCTCGGAAGGAACCCAGCCTGCACCCTGCCGACAGCTGGATTTTGGACTTCTAGCCCCCAAGAACTGTGAGACAATAAGTGTCTGTTGTGTTAAGCCTCCCATTCTGTGGTACTTTGTTATGGAAGCCCTAGCAAACTAAAATACACAATTAGAAATTCATTAGAAATAATTACAAATTAATTGTATACATAATAACAATTATGGGCATCCTATAAAAAATGTAAACTCTCTTATATTCTCCCTTGTTTCCTTTTTTCTCTTTTTCATTTACCACTCTCTAAAATACTAGCCGAAGATAAGCTCCAAAAGGATGAGCTTTATGGCTGTCTTGTTCATTCCTACATCCCTAGCACCCGGAGAGTGTCTTGCATATATTAGTACTTACTCAAAACACTTGTACTGAATAAACAAATGGAATAGTGATATGAAAAAAATACCAGATGATGTAGTAAGTACATACAAAAGGGAAACGTCACCTTGTCTGGGAGATCACGGAGGATTTCCCACGGAAATTGCAATGAAGCTGAGTAAGTGCTGGGAAAGCAGATGAGTCCACAAAAACCATCAAGAGAAGAAGACAATTCCCCGACAAAGAGAGAAGAGGGTAATAAAAGCCCTGCAGCAGCAAAGAATTTGATAAAAGAAGTAAAAGATTACTGAGTGGTCGGATCACAAGGAGGAAGAGGAAGAGACAAGGCTAGAGGGAGGCAAGTCTGGGAAATGACAGGTTTCATGTACTTAAAAGCCTCTGAAAGCTTTTCATCATGGCAGGAGGGCAGCAAGGCAGAAAGAGTATGATCAGAAGACTCACCCATTTTAAAAGACAACCTGGCTTTTGAGTGTTAATGAATTTGAGAGGGTCAAGAGTAGATTGGGGATGACTAGTTAGGAAGCAACTATGACTAGCATAGTGGTGGAGATAAGAGTAAGAAATACATGAAATCAGGAGATAGAAGACAGAGACTAACAGAACATAATAAACTGAACATGTGTGGGTCAGGAAAGGGAAAAATGTTATATAAGAAGGATAGAGACCTAGAATGGCAAGATAGTTAATGATGACAATGCCAGAAGATATAAGTCAATGAAAAAATACCTTCAAAATTTGGAAGGAAAAATCTTTCCAAACTAAAATTGCAAAGCCAGTCATATAATCAATCAATAGTAAAGGTAATATTCCCAGTTATGTATGGCCTTAAAAAATGTCATTCCATAAATCTTTTTCTCAGGGAATTTCCTAAAATTGTATTCCACCAAAACAAGGAAAGAGAAGAGGCAGAGCTGTTTGCTGAAATAAAATGAAGCACACAGCAGGAAGGAGAGTGCCATGCCCAGAAGGTTGGTGAGAGGGAATTCCAGGACAGTAGCAAAGGGCAGCCACAGCAGATGGAACAGGACAGCACCAGAGGCTGGGGGCTACCTCAGGCAGGATGCTCCTGAGACAGTAATGAGTTGATCAACATTGATGTGTTTAAATGTATTAGAAGGTAATACACATTTTTGGTGGAAAGTTTAGAGGTAAATTAATACTAGGTAAATAGAAAACTAAGCAAGTGAAAGACAATTATTATTAAAAAATAGAATGTTTTCCTAAAAGGAATTATAACTGTAGGGGAGGAAAAAGGAATTTTCCCTCCAACCTTCTTAGTTCTTTGCTGGTAACCCTATAACAAAAGACAAATTAACAAAAGAAAAACCAATAGAAAATTATTAACATGCATATCCTACATATACGTGGAAGATACCTAAATTAAAAAGACATGTCTTGGAACACTGGCTTAAACAGCACTTTCAGGCAGTTCCTCCAATTCCCCCCCCCCCCCACACACACACACAAAAGGTGTTTTGGGGAGGTAACTGGAAAAAACACAGTCAACAGGAATAAGGTCTGTTATGTAAATTTAAGGCAGTGCCTTCTCCATTGATACAAAGACTAACATATCTAGGGACAGAAAGCAGATGATGAACAGGTAGATACCTTTGTAAATTTATGTCTGGCTTTTAGGCAAACAAGGGGAAAGCAGAGAGCACTTTTTTTTTTTAAATATCTGCTTCTCAGTTGCCTTCAGCTGAAAGTACCCTAATTAATTCTTATGCTGAAGTAGTGTATTTTGGGGGTGGCATACTCTTCTTCCCTTCATAACCATATTATATATGTTGTCTGGCTCAAACTGTAAAGAATCTAACTAAATATTAGACTTATAAAAAATTACGACAATAGTCAGAGGGTGAGAAGAAGGAAAAGGCAGGAGTCAGATGTACAAAAGACCAAATCTTCGTGCTTCATGTTGGGACATCAACCACCCATTAAACATGAAGAACTGAAACACTTCCAGAAATAGCAGAAAGAACAATCTTTTCATAAAAATAAGTATAACTACCAAGACAAAAGCCAAAGTCCTGACAACTGTTTTCTCCAGGGGAGTGCGAGTGAAGACAGGCTGATGGTGGAGGAAGCAAGAGTTTTGTTTTTTTCATAATAAGCCTTGCAGATATAAGTGATTAAAAAAAAAACTACTGCATATAAAATATTAATAAAAATGTTTAAAAAAAGAGAAATCAATATTTGGAACCTGACACTAAATCACAACGCATGACCAAACTAACACTAAGCACTTACACTTTAGAAGTGCCTGATAGTTGTTTGTTGGTTGGTTTCTTTAGTATATACTGAGGTTTACAATAGGGCAAAATCAATTATTTTAACAAGACCTATTTATGCAATAACATTAAACTTTTTTAAGATACTTAAATGGTGGGGAGTAGATATTTGTATACTGTCCTGCCTGTATCTACTTCTTCTTTAGTGTGACATATATATTAGATACCATTTTTTAGTGATTTAAATGACTTTTTCTCCACGTAAATTGTTTCTCCTATTGTTACAAGCCTCAGTTCTGCCAATTTGGTGATCTACTGATAGTCTCTTTCCTGTCTCAAGAAAAATCGCTTTGATTTCCCAAAAGTTTATTTAAAAAAAAAAATCACACCACACTTATCTTTCCAGCAACAGAGCTGTGGCCCCTGTTGCCCAGCCTGCAGGCTGCAGACAGTCTAGCACAGGACTGGCCCCCACCCCCAACAAGTAGAGCCTGTGTACTAACCACATCTTCCTTCCTCCCCAAACAGATCACTGCCTTATCCGGCCCTTCAAAGCTTAAGAACTGAAATCTCAGATATTTCACGCAGAAACTTTTTTACTGACGTGTCTCCTAGAGCAAGGGACATAAAGGAAAGAATAAACAAATGGGACCTCATCAAAATAAAAAGCTTTTTCACAGCTAAAGAAAACAGTATCAAAATAAAAAGAGAACCAACTGTATGGGAAAACATATTTGCCAATGATACCTCAGACAAGGGTTTAATCTCCAAAATATATAAAGAACTTACACGACTCCACTCTAAGAAGACAAGCAACCCAATTAAAAAAATGGGCAAAGGACTTGAACAGGCACTTCTCCAAGGAGGACATACAGAAGATCCAAAGACACATGAAACGATGTTCAGTATCACTAGCTATCAGAGAGATGCAAATTAAAACCACAATGAGATACCACTTCACACCAGTCAGAATGGCCATCATAAACAAAGCAACAAACAACAAATGTTGGAGAGGTTGTGGAGAAAAGGGGGTCCCTAGTGCACTGTGGGTGGGACTGCAGACTGGTACAACCACTATGGAAAGCAGTATGGAAACTTCCTCAGAAAACTAAAAATGGATCTGCCTTTTGACCCAGCAATTCCATTGCTGGGACTATATCCTAAGAACACTAAAGCACCAATACAAAAGAACCTTTGCACCCCGATGTTCATAGCAGCACAATTTACAATAGCTAGGTGCTGGAAGCAACCTAGATGCCCATCAGTAAATGAATGGATCAAAAAACTATAGTACATTTACACAATGGAATTCTATGCAGCAGAAAGAAAGAAGGAGCTCCTGCCCTTTGCAACAGCTTGGATGGAGCTGGAAAGCATTATGCTAAGCGAAATAAGCCAGGCAGTGAAAGACAAATACCATATAATCTCACCTTTAACAGGAACCTAAACAACAAAACAAAGAAACAAGCAAAATATAACCAAAGTCACTGAAATAGAGGACAGACTGACAGTGACCAGAGGGGAGAGAAGAGGGAATTTCAGGGGAGAATGGGTAGGGTTTACAGGAACAAATTTAAAGGACACATGTACAAAAACTAGGGGGAGGGTAGTAATGGGAGGGAAGTGGGGAGGGTTGGGTGGGTGGGCTGGAATGGGAGTAAAAGGGAGAAAACTGTACTTGAACAAAGATTAAAATAAAAAATAAAAAAGAGAAAAAAAGAATTCATCAAAGCTTAAGAACTGAAAAAAGAAAACAAATTTTTCTTAGCACAACTAAAACACATCATGTGTAGTATACTCACCCAACAAATATTTATTAACTACTGTTTACCAAGTACTTAAATGTAAATTTAAACTAAAAACAAACCAAACAGAGAATAACAGCTACCTACCTAACTGACAAAACAGTAATGTGCTAGCCCTGGGAAAGATATGTACAAAAACCATTTAAGAAAAAGAAAGTGATAAAATTAGGAAGCTGTTAATACTTAATAAAATGAAAACTCTTTTTGGCACAAATTTGCAAGCTTTAAGTGCTGAAATTCTTTACAGAAATAATGTCATTGAGTGACTTGAAGACTGGCTGGAAAGTCATAAATGTTTCCATTTTAATTCCATTTTCTTCTCACAGAGATGCTTTGAGAGCAACTAATTAATATTTGCAAAGTGCTTAGTGATAAGCTCAAAGTAGAATGAATGTTAGTCACAAATCAAAATGCAAGCACACTGACTAAAAAAAAAAGTCACTGCCTTAGTAAACACAACTAAAATTCAGTCTTAATAAGTTTGTATCAAACATTTTAAAAAATAAACTTAAGATAAAAACTGCAACTCAAATTCTTTGCAAATAAAAAGAAATCACACAACTTACGATATTTACTGTGAATTTCATCTATTTCCTTTTCTGTTTGATCCTTCGTAAAAACCATTATCTAAAACAATACAAAAATTATTCATTAAAAATTCATTATATGACAAAAATAGAAATCAGTACTATAAACTTTAAAATCTCAAATGTGGATGTTTAAAATACAGTGGAATAATCTCCCATCTTTGTTTTATATAGACCTAGGAAAAATAACTCCTGTGTACTTCCCTTCAATATTATAATTAGTATATAATTTGCCTAATACTTATTTCTCATCAGTAGAAAATACAATGTGGATTCCATTAGAACATATGAAGTACTAACACAACAATTAAGTTTCGTATTTTCAATCTTTAATTTTTCACATTCATTAATACAATAGGTGACACTTTAAAGTACAAGACTGGAGACACTGAGTAGATCACTAATAAACTAAATCTTGCTCCCCTTCTATCTTTTCTAACTTAACTCCCCCAAATCTATAAGAAATGTAATATAGGGGAAATATAAGACATACATTAAATTTCTAGTTCCACTTTCTAAAATCTTAGACTTAAGAGATCAGAAGTCTACTTACATTATTCATCATCAGACACTTACAGTCTCCACCTTACAGTTTGCACACAGGTAGTAAAAAAGTCAATGAAAATCTCTTTTTTTCCACTATCTGATTATAAACTCACTTCCCTAAGGTCGTTGTTTTCCTTACAAACACATTATTGATGATCTAGAAAAAAAAAAAGAGCCCAAAACACTTCCTCCAGTGTCATAGGACACAATGACTATTTTCTTCTTTGGCATCCTTCCCCAAGTTTTGGGCCATCAAGCTAGAAGAAGGCAACAGCGAAAAATTTTAGGTCTCTGATCCCTTCAATAAGCTCAATAGATAATCCTCATACACTCCTACAATTACTTAACTTCTCAATCAGTATAATCACAGAACGCTGGAGTGCCAGAGCTAAGGTGATCTTAGAGATCATAGAGTTCAACTCCTGAGTTTTATAGATGACAAGCACTGCATAAGTTAAACAGCTTATCAAATGCAACCAGCAGAGAAAAGGACCAATACAAACGCTACCTGATATATATGGGCATATGCTTTTTCTAAGGGCTATAACTCACTAATAAACTCTTCTTTAGATTGCATGTTGTGCTAGAAGACTGATAAATATAATAGAATTTTGTGCTAAAAAATTAGCTGCAAGTAAATCATAATATACTAAATGGAAATGTGTTCTAGTACATTTCCCATTGAACAAATGTAATATATACTGGCTTGTTTTAGTTTTAGTATTCAACTTTACTTTATTTCTACCCAGATACTGAAATAGACTATAACATACATTTTCATTGAGTTTACTAGCTTCAAGACGCATCCTAGTCTTCTCCATATTTTCAATTTCTTGAACTATTTCAGCAGCTGTTAAAATAAAGACATAGAGCCAATGTTAATGACATGGTTTTGCTCACTGTGCGACGGTCACGTGAGTTATCAACAATGAAGCTGGACGATAGGAACACGTAAACTCCCTGTCCCATTTTTATTATTTTTCTGTAAGGCTATTTCTACAGTTATTCCAAAATAAAAGTTTCAAAAAATAACAGAGTTAAAACACTGAACTCTTATATATGCAAACAGTTTAGAATATGACCAAAAATTACAATAAGGTCACTATGCTCTTTCCTTTGAGTATACAGGTATAAATAGCAGTCTCAATGGAATTGAAAAATTAATTTATTAATGTGAATTCAATTCTTAAGGGATATGCACTCAAACTCCAATACACTAAATATGTACAACAGGCTACTTTTCAAGGAGACACAAATGTCTACAAATACCAGGGGGAAATGGCCTTGCCTCCGGAACTTTTATTAGCATGTGTAGTTACCAATCACAGACATCAGAGATCTGGAATATACTCTGTCACATACATAAATGCCTTGGAATGCAAACAGCACTGAATTTGCAAGCATTATCTTTCTGCCTTCAAAGTCAACATATTAAAACTAAAAAAACATAGTATAGAATAAAAATCTACAATCCCCTCCACACATTTGTACACAAAAAGACACTATGTCTGGACTTTGCTTAAAAATAACCCGTGGGCAGGAGGAAAGTAGATGACAGATGACACACAGGGGGCATGCGTGAGGCAACACTGCTTAAGCTGGATAGCAAGTATATGAGGGGAATCACAGTCTTCACTCCATTTTTATATAAACCTGATATAATCCCATTTTAAAGATTTTTATAAAAACCATAGTCAATAAAGGGATCATTTAAGAATGCAATTACTTCAATTTAAAGTTTGTTTTAAATAAAAGGTACACTGGGAGGCTTCCAGCAAAGATGGAGGCAGAGGTGCTTTCTCGCACAACCAAAAGTAGGATAACAACCACTTTGACCATTTTGACCAAAATGAGATGTCTGTCTTTATCTCTCATAACACTTGCCTTGAAGTCTATTTTGTCTGCTATTAATGTTTAATGATACCACATCAGCTTTCTTTCGGTTAGTGTTTGAGTGGTACATCTTTTCACATCCTTTCATTTTCAACCTTCCTGGCTATTTATATTAAAGTGTTTTCTTCTAACAGTATATAACTCCCTCTTCTTTTTAATCCAGTCTTTACATTTAAAATAATTACAGTTACCATGTTACTTTGTTTTCTTTTTGTCCATTTTTTCTTTTTTAAAATTATTATTCCACCTTGGCTGGTATGGCTCAATGGATTAAGTGCCAGCCTACAAACCAAAGGGTCTCCAGTCCAATTCCCGGTCAGAGTACATGCCTGGGTTGCAGGCCAGGTCCCTAGTAGGGGACACGTGAGAGGCAACCATACACTGATGTTTCTCTTCCTTTCTTTCTTCCTCCCTTCCCCTCTCTCAAATAAATGAAGGAATGAATGAATAAATAAAAATAAATAATGGGGTATATCATGAGGACAAGGAACTAGCATGAAGAAGCACCCACTGGCCAAATCTGGAAAAACATAAAACCAAAATAATTAAGGGTGACAATAAGTTATAAGTATGTGAATCTACATTGATCATAAATAGAGAAAAAGAAAAGAGGGTTCTTGTTTTCAAAATCATGGCAAGTAGCAATTGGTAAATGTGGAAGGAGTGCTGATGTTAGAAAAATCGTATTTTACAACTATCAGAGAAAAGATAAGTTCAGGTAAAATTACCAAAGAATGAAAGAAGGGTGAAATGTTAATGATGTATAGAATATATGGTATTAAAATGTCTCTCTGTTGATTTCTTATTGTTAGCAAGGGGAAAACTATACAGTGGAGAAACTGACAAGATGATCAAAACTGCCATCACAAATGAGGGGCACTAAGATGTCAAATACCTCTGGATATGACTGGTATTTTGAAAAGGACAAAAGATTACTTATATAGTATTCATATAGTACTGAAACAAATGAAAAACAGGAAGGAGAAGCCAGCAGTTCATCAACATTCAGGAATGTAAAACCTGAATGTTATAAGAAAATATTAGACAAAGTCAAATTGAGAAATATTCTATTCGGAAAAAAAACCCCACAAAAACAAAGACTGTATTCTTTTAAAAAACCAGTGTTGTTAAATGACAAAAAAAGGTTGAGGAATTGTTCAGATGGAAAGAGATGGAAAAGATATTACAACTACCTGGCTGGCATAGCTCAGTGGATTGAGCGCGGGCTGCGAACCAAAGCATCACAGGTTCAATTCCCAGTCAGGGCACATGCCTAGGTTGCAGGCCACGGCCCCCAGCAACCGCACATTGATGTTTCTCTCTCTCTCTTTCTCCCTCCCTTCCCTCTCTAAAAATAAAATAAATAAAATCTTAAAAAAAAAAAGATATTACAACTAAATACAGTGGTGATCTGAAACTGGATCATGTGTTGGAGGGGAAGAAAATCTATACAGGCCATTTCTGAGTCCACTGCCGAAACCAGAATAGAGATGATAAAGTACTATAACAAAGTCGAATTCACTAAAATTGATAACTATACTGTGCAATAAAAGAGAATATCCTTTATCTTAGGAAATACACAATGGAGTAATTCGGGATAGAGAGTCAAGATTATATAACTTACTCAGATTTTTTTAAAAAATTATGAATGCATAAAGATGTACACACATGAACACAGTCATACCCAGAAAGAGAAACAGTAATAAATAAGGCAAATGAGGCAAATAATGGTGAGTCTGGGTAAATATGTATATGTTCCTTACAACAGTGTTTCAGCTTTCCCACAAGTGCAAAACTATATCCAAACAAAGATTTTTTTAATGAATGCAAACTTAAGACTTTTTCAGACAAATAAAGGCTGAGAATTTGTCTCAACAGCTCATTTGCACTACAAGAAATATTAAATAATGGCTTGGTGGTGATAAACTACTTTGGCTTTACCTTGACTGGAAAGCACTTTATCTGCCCTCCCATTCTAAATGAAAGCTTTGACAGATAGTGTAACCTTGGATGTAGGTCCTTGCCTTTCATGACTTTGAATACTTCTTTCCAGCCTCTTCTTACCTGCAAGGTTTCTTTTGAGAAATCAGCTGATAGTCTTATGGAAACTCCTTTGTACACAACTGTCTCCTTTTCTCTTGCTGCTTTTAAGATTCTCTCATCTTTAATCTTGGGTAATTTAATTATGATGTGTCTTGGTGGGTTTCTCCTTGGATCCAACTTCTTTGGGACTTTTTGAGCTCCCTGGACTTGCATGTCTAGTTCCTTGGTCAGACTGGGGAAGTTTTCCTTCATTATTTTTTCAAGGAAGTTTTCAGTTTCTTGCTCTTTGTCGTCTCCTCCTGGCATCCCTATCTAATGTTGGCACATTTGGAGATGTTCCAGAGGTTCCTCAGCCTATCCTCATTTTTCGAATTCTTCTTTCTTCTTTTTGTTCTGACTGAATGTTTATCTCTTCTTTATTTTCCAAATTGTTGATCTGAATCCCAGCTTCCTTCCCTCTCTATTGGTTTCCTGTGGCTTATTCTTTATTTTGCTTAGTGTGACCTTCATTTCTTTTATTTATTTATTTATTTATTTATTGCCATATCCAAGGAGAATGGGGAAATGCTGTAGGTATTAATAAGCATAATTGGTAGGAACAAAATAAACAGGCAGAAGTTAAAAATAGCACAGGAAATGGAGAAGCCAAAGAACTTACACTCATAAACCATGGACATGAATTAAGGGGGGAACCTCTGGAGGAAAGGTGGTTACTAAACAGAGGAGGGGAAAAGGGGAAAAAACTGGGACAACTGTAATAGCATAATTAATAAAATACACTTAAAAATAAAATAATTGTTGATAAGATTAAAAAAAGAAATATTAAATAAACTTTTTCAGGCCAAAAGACAATGACATCAGATGAAAAATTGGATCTTAGAAATGAAATGAAAAACACTAGAAATAGCAAATATGTGGGCACATATAAACTTCTGCGTTTTTTATTTAAAAGAAAACTGACAGTTTAAAGCAAAAACAATGGTAACAACGTATTATGAGGGTTATAGCACATACAGAAAAACATCTATGACAACCATAAAACAAAGGACAAAGTTAGAAGGTCCTTGCATTACACCTGTAGTGTATAATCTGAAGGTAGACTATGACAAGATGCAAATGTTAAATCCCAAAATAATCACCAAAACAAGTTAACCAGAGGCATAGGTAAAAAGACAATAGTGGAAATAAAATGAAAAACTAAAAAACACTCAATCCAAAAGCAAGAAAAGAAAGAAAAAAAATAAAGAATGGATAGGACAAATAGAAAATAAAGAACAAGATGGTAGACTTACACCCAAAGAGATTAAACAAAATGAAAAGTTAAATGAAATTTAAAAAGCAAATCCAAACCATATACTTACAAAAAAATCAAACAATAAAAATACCCAAAGTTTAAATAGAATAACATAATAGGCTTTTAAAAAGAGAGTGAACTAAGATAAAACATAGCAGCTATACTCAAAGCAGATAAAGATTTTCAGACAAGGAATATAACCAGGGATGAAGACAAATATTTCATAACAATAAACAGGCTAACTCATCAAGAAGACACAACAATACTAGATGCACATACTCCTAAAAGGAAAAATGGAAACATTTATGAATATACCCAGAGATTTCAATAATCCTCTCAGTAATTGTTAGGACAGTACACATATATCAGTAAGGATGTAGAAGACCTGAATATACTATCAAGCAACTTTACATAACTAACATTTATAGATCACTGAACAAAAAAAGCAAAATTTCCAAGTGTTTATGCAACATTCACCAAGGAAGACCAAATACGGAGTTATAAAACAAGTCTCAATAAAACTAAGAGGTCTGACATCATACAGAATTGGTAAAGTGTAATCAAATTAAAAATGAATAATAAAAAAAGATATCTGTGAAATATCCAAATATTAGAAATTT